TATTTGCGTGAATTCTGAAAATGTCTGAAAATGAAGCTGTTGTGAATATTTATTACGATAAAAAATTTACAAGATCTGCCAAAATAATTTTTAAATTTTTTGGAGAATTTCTAACTTTAAATAAATCGATTGAAGCATCGTTGAAAAAAGAGAACAGGAAGGAAAAAAATTGTGTCCTTTTAAAATATGGTTAATTTTAGAAGCCAAAACAAAGCTCTCTCGGTGATACACTTTTTAAATAAACTAACTTATCATTAAATTTATTAGAGTATATAAAATAAAATGTTTAATATAATAATTATAGTAATACATCTTTTTGATTTCTTTTTTTAAATTTAAATGTTTTAAGGCTTTTAACCGAGACAACTAAAAATATCTCTGAGGAACAAAGCTAGAAATATTCTACAGTAGGTCCCATAAGAAAGAGAAAATCTCACAACAGATCTTTTGCTTTTACTAATGAATAATGCAATCCACACATTTTGCTTTAGGCTTCTTGATATATCTAGTCTTATATATGCTACCAACTAACTCAACTACATATAAAAGAATTAATTTACAGTCCATCACAACATTTTCTTATAAATGTAAGTCTAATCTTTCTTTAATATATTACGTAATTAAGCTAAAATCAACACTTTAAAAAAATAATAAACAAAACTTTTTGCAATACAATTTTCAAAGCCCATAAGGATAAACTTAATTAAACATACCAGAGAGAAATGTATTAAATCAACATTTTAATAATATTTTTTTAAAAATATATTTTACGTGTTTATTTGTTTTAATTTTCAATAGGAAAAATGTTAGAGGTATGGTAATTAATTTTATTGTCATTATTAGATTAAAGACCTATAAGATTTAAAAATTTGAAAATAAAATTTTAAATTAAAAAAATATTAATATTTATTCATAAATATTAATTAATTTTTAACAAAATATAAAAAATAGAATCCAATATTTTAGTTTTTAAATATAAATAAATAGTCTCTAATCGGTGAGATGTAAGTACTAAAAACTTTACAGGAATAAATATATAAAGGATATAATGTTAGAATTTATTTTGAAAGAGGTTATTTTCAGTTTTTGTATTGAAGAAGAATGCAGTAAAAAGATGGAAAGATTAAAGCTGAAAAATCCTTTTAAAGAAAATTTATTGCAATTTCTTTTTACTATATTTCTATAAATATCAGTATGAAGTCAAAGAAAAATATACTGTAATTGCTCGTTATAGAACAAGATAAATCATTCAGTCCATAACTTTATACAATATTAATCTAGAATAACTCAAATAAAGATATCAAAATGGAGAAAATGAACCGAATCATTATAAAATATTATATATATAGACTTTTATAAAGTATTATTATATAAAATTATAAATTATTATTTTATAAACATTTAAGACATTAATTAGTTTATAAGTAGTTCTAATAAATGTAGCAAACATTAAAAATTAGTGAAATATTTTTATGGGATAAGAAAGAAGTTTAAGATGAATAATGAACTGATGAAAATTAATAAGATTAGTGGATTGTATATTAAGTGGAATTATTTTTTTTTTTATTTGATTGATGAATAGGAAAGAACAAGTATCTTACGAGGGCACTCAAATAATCTTAATATCCAGTTTAGTATCGAATGCCATCTAAGCACTTGTCTACACTTGTCTACAAATCTTTCTTTCTTTTTTTTTTAGATTAAAGAAGGGATAATATTGTAGAGAAATTTAAATCTATCAATATTTACTTTTCAATTTTTTCCTTTTTTTAAATCCGGATATTGTAAACGATATGCTCTTTAAACTATTTGATTTCGAGAGGAGTTTTATTATTCGATATGACGTTCAATATTTTGAAAATCGACAGTTTTGTCTTTTATATATATATAATTATGGATTTAAGTAGTTTTAACCGCTATTAGATTTACACGAAAATTCCATTTTGTCAAATGGAATTTTCACAAAAGTCGAGTTGTACAGTACGTTTCATCCAATCTTTCTAACTCAACTAATCGAGTAGCGAATGATACAAGTACGCAAGTAAATGGGAAAAAAACAAAAGAAAAAAGCGAGATTTTTTTACAATAACATGTGCAATTACCATTAAAGAATGTAATGTAATAAAACGAGAAAAAATTAATTTATATCGAGAGTATTAATGTTTCATAATCGGTTAATTTCATTAGGTTTTGACAAGTTAGTACAGCGGGTGTGAATATTATACATATATATAATCAAAAAATTTACTCGTAAGCAAAACAAAATGACGTAAGAATGGGCCAAGTGCATATCGATCCTTAATTCACAAGAGACGAGCCAAAACTGCTGACGTATTCGAACGTGTCGTATAACACGTACGTAGAATTTACTGTTATGGATAAATACTAAACGAATTATAGCTATATGGAGAGAGCGAAATTACAGAATGTTACTGTATAAGCCAATTTCTTTAGTTCCAACCTCACATTTCTTACAGAAATGTATGATTTCTCTTATAAACTAGTCATTGGACTTCAAGGAAATTTTTAAGTTATAAAACGTTAAAAACGTACAGTTATTTTCGTCTAATATTTTAAGTATACGAATTTATTTTAACATAGAATACAACCAACGAGTTATTTTAAGACTGAAATAATTCTGAAATTCAGAATCAAATAAAATTCATCTTTCCTATCACAGATGCTGTATCGTTTGAATGGTTTATACAGGTCTATGTCAATAAATAGATAAAAGCATTCGTACAAAAACTGTTATCTAATTAATAAAATTATTAATTAAATAATATTTTGAATGACATTTCATTAATCATTTTGTAAAATAAGATTTAAATAACGTTTATTATATTTTTTTTAATACAAAAAAATTCTCTTATATTTGCGTGAATTCAATTAAAAATATTCAAAGACGTCAAAATTGATTAAAAACTAATTAATTACAATCAATATTCTGTAATATAAGCTTAATTCTAATGAAAAAAGTTTTTAAAATTTCTTTTTAAGTTGTCGAACATTTCACACATCATTTATAATTCTGCACATTTGCTTTATTAGAATTCCTCGCATGTTACCTAAGTTTTGACTTAAACATCAATACTAAAATTTGCAATTAAATTATATTAATATTCAGATATAATAAATAGAATTTATTTAATTTTAATAAATTTACTCTTTCGTTTGTACGTGTTTAATCATTTCAAAGGGTTTAAATATAAAATTTTAAAATTAAAGTGTGAAAATTTGTTCTAAGTTTCTATAGTTTTAAAATACCAACCTGATTATCATTAATGTACCAGTTAAGTACGGCTAAATTACTGTAATTGGTTGTACAGTTAATATCGACGCTATCGCCAACTTCATATTTCGGCAAACCTCCTTTGATAGTCGGTTTCTTTTGACTTGCAAAGACTGGAATAACTGAGCAATGATAACTTTTAGTTATAGATATAAATTATACATGCACAGTATTAATAAAATTTAATTTTTAAAAAACCGTTTATAATTATATTCTATTTTCGAGCTTATAACTAGGTAAAATTACTTTATTCTCAGTAAAACACGTGTATACATGATCCTAGTTACGTACGACTTCTTAAATTATACTCGAACATTTTTATTAATGGAAATCGTGTCTTCAAAGATTAACATCACGTATAGTAATATGAAGCAGATGCAATGAAAAGAATCAAATATTTTAGTTGCTCTCAAGATGATTAATTTTCTTAACCGATGAAATCGTGACGAGGATAGTAAGTAACAGTTGATGACGTTTTGTCTTAATTAAACTAGGATACCACGTCCTGCACTATATATAGCACCTGGCGATGAGAGAACCAATTTTCTCGACGAATTTCGTTCTCTACTTCAACTTCAATTAATTAATTCATTGTTAACAGCATGAAAAAATCAGAGAACGCTTTAGGTGTCGTTGACCGGAATAGGCAAAACTCCAACCAATCGCATGTCCATGGGAAGTACACTAAATGTTCAAAAATCGTAACCATCTCCTATGTGCCAACTACATTTTTAAGCAAGAAAGAACAACAATAACGTTCATAAGTTTGAAACTTTATTACACTTTTTCTCTCGCTATTTAAAAATCAACTTTTTAAAGGTCAATAACAATTTTTGAAAAATTTTCTTTGCCACAAACTAAACAATGAGCTTAAGAAACTAAAATTTCTACTTTTTATAAGCAATGTAAATTATAAAGTATTCGTTTAATATAAACCGTAAATTATGATTACATCGTCGGAATCACAATTTAACAAAAATGATAACATTTTAACATTTTATATATTGCTATTATGAAAATGTTGTTGTTACTCCACAAATCACCATTACTTTAATGATACTCGTAATTTTTCCAGGCATAGATTCAACAAGCTAGCAACAGAAACCTGAAGTAATCTTACGTTGCCAAATTCGTATTAGGAACGTATTTTCTCAGATTTCTTTTCTTTCGTCTACTAGAAATTTTCAATCGGATTCATATCTACTAAACTTCTAAGCTTCGATGGTACTGATGTCTTGCATGCACGACACATTGTAGCTATAACAAAAAGAATGTTTAGATAATGGTTAAAAAATGAGTAAAGAAAGTAAAACAGGAATTCTACTCACCATTTTGATATATGGCAAGGTGCCAACCTTAGAAAATGGCTTCGAACAGATCGTAAGAGATATATATTATCGGTAACTCGGTATGTTGGTTCGAATCCGTGCTTCCATCCTCAAATTAGAGCTTTCCGGCCGTATTGCTATCGAACATCCCCAGACCTTACCACAGGATGGATGTTTCACGGTTGACAAAGCATCCCATCCCTATCTTTTTTCTTTCGGACTTTCTGCGTAAAAATATTGACCTCTTGCCACCGAAAGAAAATATTTACTTTTTACTGAAAATATTACATTATCCCATTGCTGAACCATCCACTTTTTTCTTCTTCTTTTTTTCCTATTTTTAGTTTACATAAGAGCAGTTAGTAATAGTTTCTCCGATGGAATTTTGTTTCAATTCCCATTCGATCTCGAACTGGCAGCAGTATTTTATCTAGTTTGCTGGCACAGAAGTTTGATGTCATTCATTTATTTGAGCATTACTTATGATATAGATCGATTACTGCGCTGGAATTCCTCGACTATAACTATAACAACCCGGTGGAAATTTCGACAAGTGAAAAGGTATGACTAAATCTCGTGTTACCAATATACATCAATTTAGATAGCTTGAAACATCATGAAACTCACTCGTTTTGTAGAACCAAGTACGAAATATTGACTTCATAAATCTCGCACGTGGTTATTGGAAGAAGCAAGACGAAGATAATATTCAACTTTTTATTTATTTATTTTTTATATATTTTTATTGATCATAATTTTTTTTTGAAATAATTCCAATCATAAAGGCAAATATCAGCTGGTGACATATAAATTAATTTTAAGAAAGATGCGAAAAATTATCAGTATACCTTTAAACGATTCACTTGTTTTCGTATTTAATAATTATCTACAATTTTATAAATTTTAATAACAAATATTAATTAACACGATTATATACAGTGTCCAAAAGTCAATTATATTTTATGAACAGTTAAAATCGGTTCGGAGCATCCACGTTTAAGTATTCGTCATGATTCAGATGCTTCCACTGAAGCGACTAAATCATGAATAACACGAAGCTGTTCCAAAGTGATTTTAACTGTTCTTTAATTATATCTCGGTTAACTGACTTTTAGACCATATTTTATCAATTAATCGTTGATCGAATTTCAAAGACAGATTATAAATGCTACAAATTAACTTAAAATCTTCGAAGAATCTTTGCTCTAAGAATTTTAAATTCTGAATTTCTTCAGATTTTATAATGAATTTACTTTATTTTCCATATACAATAAACCTGTTTAAAACAGACTCTTTACCAAACGGAAAATAAATCTCGAAACTAAATGATTTGCTACGTAAAGTAGCATTATAAACCATACACTTGTTTAATGCGGAAACGGAAGGTTTATTGGGAATCAATTGCCTAGCAATCTGAGTAAAGCGGAATTTTTTGGTTTAATTGAAACTAAATTTTAAATTATAATTAATGCGGGCTCGGTTGATAGTCGACTCCTTAGTGACGATAGTTATCGTTTATCATGTTTTTCCTTGTTAAGACTGTATTTGCATTGTCTAGAAGCTAGGCAATACAACACCGCTATCTCCATAGAAGAGTTAACTAGTTTCTCGGGAATGATGAATATTTGAAAAATATACCCACTATATTTGTGAATATAACATCACATGCTAAAAATTTTGGTAGTACAGTAGTTACTAAAAATAAAATTAATTTGATGTATTCCTATGTTTTTTCTGTAATTAAAAGGACAGAAGCCACCTGACAAAATTTTTAGGACTAAACAAAATTCAGGAATGCATTACTGATGCATTATCTTTGAAACATGGCGAATAATCAGTTCTAAATGTGAATTGTAACATTTTTCATATTTTCACATTGTCTGCATTAATTAATAAAACCTTAATCGTTCATAAAACAAAAAATTCTGGTCAGTACCATCACGTTCTGTTTTAGACAGGTTATATTGTATTTCCACATTGATAAGTGGATGAGTAAGAAAATATATTTATCTATTTTCTAAAAAGTTAATTTATTACAGAATGGTGTAAGTTATTTTTTACTAAAAGTATTCATTGGGCTGCAATTTGTAAAAATTGTGGACCTATAGATTCCCACTGTCGACCGTCTCTCAGTCCTTCCTTGGTCTCGAGAACGGTGTTAGATAAAGTCGAGACCAGATATGGAAAGCTTAGGGGCAGGAGGTAGGATTAACTATATAGGAACTTCCGATATAGACCGGAAGTCATGTGATATTAATTCAAAAACATTCCCCCAGAACGAAATAGATGACCGGCACGATACTGTTGCTATCAGGAAAAGTATGATGTACAGGGGCAAGACACTACTAATTTGAGATGGAGAACATATATTTTAAATTAAAAAATTGCAGCCTGAATTAATTTTTTCTCGTTTTAAAATTAGTATTATTCTACAAAAATCGGTGGGAAAAAACACTTAAAACAGTGCAAATTTGAGATATTCTTTTGGGATTTATCATTTATATAAACTATATTTTTATTAAAATTATTTTATAAATATAACATATAATGATAAGTTAAAAATATTCGAGATAATTTGTAACTGAACTTAATCGTCAAGTTAATTTCTTTCGTTTTTAGTTGATGAGGAATAAAGTTTTCATCAAAAATAAAAATCGTTAGTAACGGTTATAAAACTATTTAATGGACATAATTAGAAAATAATCACAGTTTTAAAAAGTTGTTAAATATCTTCGCATCAATAATAATTTACGATAATTTTAATTATTCTCGTCTTTTCTAAGTAAAATTTTCAACAAATTAATCAATCGTTACGATCAAGTAAAGTAGCTATTATTGCTGTGAGGTTTTATTCCCAGTTTAATTTCTAAAACAAACCTACCAAACAATTAAAAACATTCCTTAAAATCGCATAAATTCTGTTAAAATGATGTAATGTATTATTTTATTAAATAGAGGAGTGCATTCTATTAGATGATTAATCTAACTCTTTCATGTTTCATTTACTTAAAGGGTTTTTAAACAAATAACTAGCTATTACTACCCTATATTTTAGTAATAATGGAAATTTTACAAGCCGCATCATTTGAATAATTGTTATTTTTTAAACATTCTATTAATTATGTTGTAACCTGAACTAGCCATTTAGCGTGCAAATAGATGATTTAAGTCTGCATTAAACCGCTAATGCTAGACGAAACTCTATAAAAAAACTTCAGTAGGAAAAAAAAACCCTCAAAGAGAATAATAATGTTAAAATAAAAATATTTGTTTAAGCTTACGGTTATATAAATTTTTATTGATTTTTCTAAATTTGCCTAGAGTAAAATTTTAATTGTAATTAAAAGAATATTCAAATATTTACATTCCAAACAATATATGATAAAGTTTATAATTTTAATTAAACACAGAAAATTTATAAAAATGTTTTGTTCTTTCTTCTCAAAACTGTTTGAAACCAAAACTCAAACTTTATTGTGTAGCAGTTTCATTTATTTTATTCTCTTTTCTGTAATAAAATTGTTCGTTACAACAATATAAACTTCCTTTCTGTGGTAGATAAGTTTTATCTATGATTTTTCTTCATTGATTGGATCACTAGTGATCAAACTTTCCAGTTAAATTTATTAGAAATATAAAGAACTTAATTTAACATCAAGTAAACTTTAAAATTTATTAAATTAATAATAAAAATATCTTAAATTTTCTTAGATTATCAATAAAGTCGCATAGTTCTCTGTAGAAAAATTTCGCTTAGATACACAATAATTAATTTTTATAAGCAAGAAAATTGTATAGACTAACTTATGTTTACTTTACTTTAAAAATTTACTAAATGAAATTTAAAACTGTTATTAATTTTCATAATTTAAATCAATACGCTTTCATAAAAATTGATATTTGGATACAGGCGAATATAAATTATGTATTGGACATTAAATAGACAATATAAATTTTCTAGAAAATTAATTTTATAAAATCATAATCAAAATAAAAGATTTTACATTTTGTAATTTTGTTAACTAGCAAAATGAGTCGAATGATTGTGGAATTACGTGTTTCATTGAATGAATCTCATGGGATGCAAGCAATTTGACATCCGTTCAGAAGTTTCTTGTTGTAAATTGGTTCAGTAATTATAGATCCTTTGCTATTGTTACGGATTAATGCTTAATTGTGTAAATTATAATACATTAAAGAAAAATCACTTATTAATTATAATAAAATTAAACTTAATGATAAAGTTTTAACAAAGATAATTCTCGTTTATAAAAAATTTATATGTAAATGAAGTGAAACGTGATTGAAAAAGAGTTTTTTTTTTAATTAGTGAATTTTTAATCAATGATAAAGACGTGTAAAGATTGCATAATTTAGTATAAAATTTATAAATATTTTATAAGAAATTTTATTTAAAAAGCATAAATATTGTTACAAGATTGTCTATTTTCAACGATTTGTCAATGGATAAACTCTACTCGAGAAAAAAAATAAAAAAAGTAATAATGTTTCTTAGCAAATCCATTACGTTATTAAAGAAAAACAATATGTTAGAAGTATTAAGATTAATTACTCTAGTGCAAAAAGTCAATTTTGCGAAATTAAATTTTTCTGCAGGTAGTGTGTGTGTGTGTATATATATATATATATAGGCTACACTTGAACTTTTAATAATAACATTTTAATTGAAAAAAAAATAAATATATTGTCATAAAATTGTCATCGAGTCATGTTTAATAATAGAAACAATCTGATACTCGCGTAAAAAATATATTTATGTATATTTTTTTCAAGTTTAGATAGTAAAAATAATAATAAAGGCTGAAAAAATTTTTTCTTAGTTATTAGAATATATTTCAATTATCCTGATGTATTCGGCATTAAACTGATGAAGATAAATTTTTTCCCCTTGTAGAAGTAGAGAAAATTTTTATATTTGTTAAGTAGACGGCAGAAACTGATATTAAAAAATGAAGTAATCATCATGTATATTATTGAAGTAATTATTATCTATATCGTAAAAAAGTTTCGGAAACTCTTACAGAATTTGCAATTAGTGTCTAAACGAGATATTATATTAATTCAAGGCAGATGAGCATTTATAGTTACCATTCTGGACAGGCTTTCTAGATCCTCTTTCTCTTATAACGAGCTCTTCGCTGCTACTAGAATATATTAACGCTAAAGATGCTTTGCAGTGCAGCTTCATCACTCCTCGACGAAAATGGCGATGATCTAAGACTAAAGTCAGACGAATTCTAGAACTCTGTAAACCATCCGGATGACGTAGGATTGGATAGCGGGTTTCGAAATTGGGATTTACCTGAAGTAAAAATACTAGACTTTAAACTTTATAAATAGTTAAGAGATTTGAAGCATAGATGTGTATAATTTATCTAAATGGCAGAAATCGGAACACCTGTCTTTCGAATAAATACAAATTACATGTGTTAGAGATGTCACTGGAAAGAGAGGGACGAGGCGCACGTGATAAATGGAATAGGGAAAGAAGATGCTATTAGCGTTGTCAAGAGAGTCTGGGTGGATCGCAAGAGAGAAGTAAATGTAGTGGGATGTTTATAACATCATTTAAAATTGACGCTTCTAAACTGTATTAATTACACTTTCAATTGATGTTAAAACTACATTCTCCTTTTGTTGTCCGAAGCAATTAGTATTACCGTTTTGTTGGGACAAATTATAAAAGAGAATAACTTGGTCATTTCTTTCCATCTGCACGTATCGGAGGTAGATGGAATGTTAAACAAACTCTAACTCCCTATCTCGAGCCAATAGGAATTCGTAAAAGATTTCCGATGCATTGTGCCTCATAGTGATTCCAGTAGAATACAATTATTGGTGAGAGGAGCGATGTAATGACAATAGGAAGGAATCGTTCCTAATTACAGTTGACCATCCCACTGGATTCGTTTTCCTCCAGCGGCTTAAGCTAACTCAACTACACCAGAGTTGTCGTCTCCATATACTCTGCATCATACTCCTTATATTATTTTTATGCTTTTCTCCCTTTTCCATCCACAATCCCCTTGTCGATAAACTATGCTGATTATAATAAACTCTATGTTTATATTCAATGAAAGCTGAATAATTATATTAGCAACTAACTAAGAAACATTCCTTACTTCTTGCTAATTTCATTTTTATAAACCAAACTTTTTCATTTAACCACTCTTACCTTCAATTTATATAACTTTTATACTTTATATAAACTTATATATATTTAAAATGTCTTAAATTACACATTTTAAACGAATTTTATCTCTGAAACTGAAGCTAATTTAAATTTTTATAGTGAAATTATTCCATTTTTAAAAATTAATTTCACTCATATAATATTTTTAAAAAATTTTCTTCACGAGCTTAAAAGAATAAATTAAGATTTTATTTTTAGTTTTTAATTGAATTTTATTTATGTAACTGAAAGTAATTTATCATCTTATCAAATGCATTCATGTAATTTAAACAATTTTGATTCCTCATTAATCTCATTTATATACAGCAAAGAAAATTAAAGAGGAATCAAAACTACAAAATCTTAAATTCTTATTAATTTCAATTGTATAATTAGACAATTTTACTTAATTATAAGATACATTTTAATTCGTTTCATATTATTAATTAAATTTTATTTTAATTAATGATCAATTTACTTCCTATTTAATTAAAAATATTTTATTTCCTGATAACATTTTTATACGATCAGATTTATTTTTTTTGTGTGATCCGAAACAATATTGATTTATTTTTAGATGACCTTACTATATTTATACGTTCAGATTTTCATATGATATATTGATACCGAATTCAATTTTACAGAACTTAAGATATAGGAGGATTACAGAAACCATAATTCTCAATAAAAGTAATAAAAAAAGTTAACTGCTGATCCAGACGTTCAAATTTTTATTCGACAAAAAAGAAATAACACGATATTATTTAAATATCAGATAAGAAAAATCTTAAAAAGAAAAAATATATATAGAAAATTTATTTTTGAAAATATAAAAATAATATATGTATATATCTGTATATTTTCTTTATGTAAAACAATGAAATACTCGCAATAAAAATTTGATACCATCTCACAATACGATACTGTCAATAAATATCTGACATTATCAAAATATCACAACAAAATCCTATTTTACTTCGCTCTTTTCCTCTTAGGCAAAATAAATATAAAATAAAAAAAAAAGAGAAAAAGAGGAAGAAAGGGAAGAAACCAGACTGTATTTTTTATACTTATTTAATTTTGTATTACTTTTTGAAACAACTGCTTTGTTTAATTTACAGCTGGAGTATTAAAAAAAAGGCTGATTAAAATGAAAAAAAGGCATCTCAAGAAATCATTCATTTTCTCAAATTATTGACTTTAGTCAATTTAAGACGGGGAATAAAATCGAAAACAGATTAATTTAGAGTTTAACGTTACTTTTTTTTTACGGTTTTTATTGTTATTTTTCTATACTAAGTACAAAAACTATATAAATAAGCTACTGATGAATATTTAACAGTTTCTAAGTAACCTAGATCAATTAAACGTGTAGTCTCTTCTCAACTCTTTAATAAAAAGAAGAGGAGAAGAAATAAAATAAAAAGTTTCTCGAAAACCTACGCTAAAATTCGATTTTCCAGAAATCTCATTAGACCGTTTCGTATATAAAATTTAAACGTGCCTATGTGATAATATGTAATTAAAACGTAAAATTTAAGTAAATCATGCATATGTTATAATCGGTTTGGAGATCCTTGATTAAGTTACAAAACAATCCGATGATAATCGAATATTTTCAACAATACATCTGACATTTTCATCTAATAAATGGAAGTTCACTAATGAAAGAGAATTTGTCACGAATTGAAGTAATCAAACGTGAAAAATGTTCGCGGAGGGAAATGCGATAGATAGATACTTTTACTATGTTGTTCAACGAGTTTTCAAATTTAATCTCATTTGATTCGTGAATTAAATAACGTCAAATATGAATTTGCATCGAATGAACTCTTCTAATTAATTGTTTCGGAACTATGGAATGTTTCATTTTCAAAAAGGGAAGATGGCCTCTCGATGAACGCTTTACTAATTTTTAATAACTTACTGTCTTTATCTTTATTCTTAATATTGATAATAAAAAAACAGAAAGAATCTATTCTTACCTCTTGGTCATCAACTAACCATTTCAGGGTGGATACAGGTTTGGACGGAATTGAAGTACATGTTACGTTGAGTACGTCACCTACTTGGTAACGAGAAACGATTCCGTCAATTGTAGGAAGTTCTTTGGGCATTACTGCGAAGGAAAAAAAAAAACAGTAAAACACTTTTAAAATATCACTCGATACGTGCATTTAAGCAATAGTTTTGTTATGCATGCATACAACGTTATCCCAATGGAATATAGAGCGTCAGCATATTTCTTTTATTTTTTGTTTTATCTGATATTGAATCGCCCTATAACCGCACAGCTAACCGCAGAAAGGATGGTTAATTTAGCAAAGTGCCTAGGTGATGAAAAGCCACTATTCGAAAGAGACATAGCGAACAAAACGTCTCGACTCACCTGACAAGCCACAGATCTTGGTCAGTAAATGGCACGGTCAATTGTAGGCAATGTTCCACGATATTTAGTATCTTTGAGTGAATAATTACCAATGGTAAATTAACAGGAGTAATAACAATGAGTCTTTGAAGTAAACTGTGCCTGTTTGAAACCGCAGAGATAACAAGCAACACAGACAAAATGCTATCAATCGGCATAAATCGCTAGCGATTTTATAGCAATTGAAAAAAGGGAGAGGTTTTTCTTTTAAAATTAAATTATCTATTCAAAGATATTTAAAATTACGACAAAATTTACATTTCACATTTATTTAAAATGTGGTTTAAAATCTATTAAAAGTTGTAAGTTGTTTGTCTGTGTCAGTGTAGAAATCCAATCTGTAACACCTGTACTGTACAGTACATTAAATCAGTAGATTTGCGAATAGAGAGGATTTTTGTGGTGGATAAGACATTCTTCAAAAAATGCTTTAGCCATTTTTTTAAAAAAAATTTTTTACAATATCTCAGCTTGTCAACAATCAATGACAGACATGTTTGTCAGCTTATGCGTCTCAATTGCTCAGCAAGTGACAAAAAGGAATCGCTGTCTGACATGGAACAAAGTGACAATACTTTGTTTGTTTGACGTCTTCTTACATATGTATAGATCGGAAGGTTATCGATTAGATAGTTCCCCATGGGATTCTTCCGAAATTGAACCATTCTTTGGGACTTTTCCAAGCATCTTGCCACTAAGAGTTAGCATTCAAAAGATTACTTTCCAGATTTTTGATCGAAATGAATAACGCATCTCAATTATTTACAGATAGTCCACAATCCGATAATTCGTAAACGGGAAAAAAATCTTGCAACTGAATATTAATATCTAATTTTCAGAAAGTGTTTTATTTCATTTTTTGTTTAAAAGAATTTTTTTTCCCTTCTAACTACCAGACGTGATCAATATTTCAAGACAAAACCATATAGGTTGATAGATAAGTGTTCAATGTCTCCAACGAAACAAATTTCGTTGTGAGAGGCAGCAAAAATCGGGGAAAAAATAATGAAATAATAATAATAATTTATATTTTTATGTAATTTTCAAAGTATTTTTCTTGATACGAAAAATAAAATTCTTATATCGAAATTACATTAATAAAATTCTGGAAAATCTTGTATTTATTTTGTTTATTAAAAGTTTAGTTTGAGTAAAAAAATAAAAATAAATAAATGTAGTGAAGGTATTTTTATTTTTAAACTGCACAAATTATATTGTAAATTCGATTTTATACAGAAAATTGTTATCCAGAAGAGAATATAGTTAATGATCTTCGTGAAGCATTTTTCTTGTAAATTTTTGGTCGTTTCAGCAGATCGGAAAAGACTCTGGCAACAATAGAACCGACAATTTACTAAATTGCTCAATTAAGTATAAAGGGACAATTGTTGAAATATAAAATGTCTCGGAATTCGATCCGATTTGAGCTCTTTAGCGCATCTCGCGCTTTCATGCTAATTTCCTAAACATTTCTCTTCCACTTGGCGCAATCAATAATTCAACAATAGAAGAGAAAAAAACTGCATCTGTTTTTTAGTTGCTTTTTGTTGGTATATCTGGAATATTTACTATGTAAATACACCTTGACAGGTGTCTAATGAACCAGATCCTAAACAGTAACTCTAGCTATTGCATTGTCTTTATTTACCGATCGCGAAAACTTTCGACGTTTCCTGTAGTTAGTTAAATAAAATCCGAACTTTTATACCTGGAAGGAATTACTCTATTATTATTTTTTCCCCTTATCCTTCAGAAACGATCGCTGCTTTGCGTCAGATGTATGTAACAAAACGAAACTGTACTGGCATTTCTCTTAAACACCGCCAATCCAAATAATTGTTAAAAATCAGCCAAAGGCCAAATTCCAACGATTTTTTAAGAAACAAAATGCTGAAGACGACAACATCCAAAGACCTTTTATTTTTCTTTAACAATAGCTAAACCAATTGACTTATCGAGTTCAATACGCCGGATTTATTGATAACAATGAGGAGAGCAGGACTATATCATGAACTGAGATGCAAGGTTGGTGTTACGCATCTAACAATTATAGTTGCTTTCGATATCCCCTAGATCTATTGGAAACCAACTATTTTCTTTCTGATCTTGTTAAAGGAAATAAAAGAGCTCGTAGTTTTCCCGCTTCCACCGGGGAATAAAAATCAATATGAATCAATTTAACAAAAAGTATTCCTATGTCACTCGACCACTAGCCAATGAGCGGTTACCGTACAAAGATTATCTAAAATTACACCAGATAGAAATAGTTGCATTATATTTATATGTTGAAACTATCAATAAATAATTAGAAAAAAAAAGATAAAAAAGAAGAGGGAGGTTTTACTGTCATGTTTATCCAGGTGCCATATTCGTCACCTTTAATTACGTGTACGCGATCGGACTAAAGTCTGCCAGCTACGAGTTTATTTTTGTAATGGAATCTTACTTAATAGGATCTAGTCTATCCTGACGTCTTTATTGAAGTTGGAAGGCCAACAGCCATTCAGGTATTGGCTTCGGCTGAGATGTATTGTGAATATTTCATTGGACAGGCTCGCTCACGACCAAAAGGAAGTGGTACCCGCACTAACAATAAAAAAGAAATTTGTCCTAATGCTTTCTATCCAACTAGTAGATAGCGTAGAGATGTGGGCACACATTGACTAACTTTAATCATTCTAACTATAGAACTGAAAAGGTTTATGTCTGTACAAACTCGCATCAGTTTTTCAACCGTTAAACAAAAATAATAAATTATCAAGCGGGAATAAATATTATAACTGCAGCGCAGATTTCGTCACCGCCAGACATAAAAATTGCAAGAAAGGTAATGCAAGCGCTATATAAGTCTCTTAAAACTCGCTCTGCCGATCACTCCAGTGTCTCCGAAACATAACTTTTTGTCTTATAGTCAAAAACATTGAATGATATCTTCGGACGAAAACTTCGACTGGTATATTAAAGAGTGAAATTTGATAGGTTATGCTCCGGATATAATTCGTCCATTGTGTGGCCGGATGGATGAATAATGTAAGAGAAACTTTTGCTACCAAAAATCGCGGCACTAAATGAGAAAGGTAAAAAAAGTGATCGGCAATCGGATATCGGACTTTCACCAACGAAATGTCTGTAGGCGTATTTCAGTGTAACAGAACTTCAAACAATGTTAGTGGAGTTTGTTTCGACGATGCTTGCCTTCGAGAACAGATCGATGGTTGAATGTTGTCTCAAACAAGCAATTACGAAACGACGAAACGTCTTTAGAATTGGATCCGGTTTATTAATGAATTTTCTACTCATAATATACCTTCAATTGCTATTTTAACGAATACATATTTTTTTATTTTTATTTTTAAAAATTTACATTTCCGAAACGGAATGACATATTGAATAAACACTATTAAATTTCGGTATTATTTTGGAAAATAAATTTAATCTAGGATTCAATTACCGAGATCGATGTTGTTTCTATTGGAACATAAGTCGCTCGTGCATATTCTGAATACAAAACGATAAGGTTAATGCAGAAATGCAGCAGGAACACCAACACTCTTGATCGATGTTAGGCTATTACGTCAGACGATCTGGTGTTAGAAGATAATATTGTGCAGCAAGTATTCAACTTCGAAGTAAGAAAAAATAAAAAATAAAAAAAAATAAAAAATAAAACAAAGAATGCGCCCTTTGTTTATAAATTTAAATAAGCGCATTTTCTCGAATGTTGTACAAAAATGTTGAAACAATTGATATAAATAACTCACATTTTCACTCACCGTACACACGCAAATCCTCCTCGGCTTTGACAGTCTTGAATAAAGGTGCTTCTGTAGATACCTCGCATGCGTATGTTCCTTCCGTATTTAAATCTGTTCTGTACAAGTACACGTAACTCTCGTTGGACTGCGATAGCTGATAAAAGAACAAATTAACTATATTTTTTCACTGTCACGTTCGTTCTCAATTATAAACATAATTTTTAATTTTTGCTAGTTTCGTAGCGGTCGTACAACTAGACGTAAATCTATCCAAAAATATTTACGGCCTTAATGTCTTAGTAACTAGGCAAAACTAGTTACATTATCCGAAGAGAGAGACTCGCATGACCTAGATAGTCACCCTCTAATGGAAAAGACAACTTATTTAGCCAGGGTGCAATTGTGCTTGTTAGGTGCAATTATACCTTTTTCCATTGCAGCGAAATAGTAAATTTTAATTCGAAAAGAGTCTCTTAGGATAGATAATGAGTTATATACCTTATTAAGACAATATTTGATTCGTTTCCCCTTCTACCTTTATTTTTCAATTGTTACCTGATTGAAAGCTGATTTCTAATAAACGTTACCATTTATCTTTATATCTAATCGAAACTGGGCAGATAAAGTAAGAAGGCATTAAAGGATTTTTCTTAACTAGTGTTTATTGGTACACTATTAGATCAATGGCACCATTTCACCACTTGCACTCTTACCAACCTACAGATGAATTCTCCAGTCTTAATTTCTTCTTCTAAATATGATATATCACTTTTATAAAAGTTATAAATGCTATCTGCACGATTAATCACATTTTATCCCTAGTTTATGACCTTTATTATTTATTATTCAATTATAAATTATTCGCAGCTTCGAAATTATTAAATTAGTCATAANATTTATTAAATTAATAATAAAAATATCTTAAATTTTCTTAGATTATCAATAAAGTCGCATCGTTCTCTGTAGAAAAATTTCGCTTAGATACACAATAATTAATTTTTATAAGCAAGAAAATTGTATAGACTAACTTATGTTTACTTTACTTTAAAAATTAACTAAATGAAATTTAAAACTGTTATTAATTTTCATAATTTAAATCAATATGCTTTCATGAAAATTGTTATTTGGATACAGGCGAATATAAATTATGTATTGGACATTAAATAGACAATATAAATTTTCTAGAAAATTAATTTTATAAAATCATAATCAAAATAAAAGATTTTACATTTTGTAATTTTGTTAACTAGCAAAATGAGTCGAATGATTGTGGAATTACGTGTTTCATTGAATGAATCTCATGGGATGCAAGCAATTTGACATCCGTTCAGAAGTTTCTTGTTGTAAATTGGTTCAGTAATTATAGATCCTTTGCTATTGTTACGGATTAATGCTTAATTGTGTAAATTATAATACATTAAAGAAAAATCACTTATTAATTATAATAAAATTAAACTTAATGATAAAGTTTTAACAAAGATAATTCTCGTTTATAAAAAATTTATATGTAAATGAAGTGAAACGTGATTGAAAAAGAGTTTTTTTTTTAATTAGTGAATTTTTAATCAATGATAAAGACGTGTAAAGATTGCATAATTTAGTATAAAATTTATAAATATTTTATAAGAAATTTTATTTAAAAAGCATAAATATTGTTACAAGATTGTCTATTTTCAACGATTTGTCAATGGATAAACTCTACTCGAGAAAAAAAATAAAAAAAGTAATAATGTTTCTTAGCAAATCCATTACGTTATTAAAGAAAAACAATATGTTAGAAGTATTAAGATTAATTACTCTAGTGCAAAAAGTCAATTTTGCGAAATTAAATTTTTCTGCAGGTAGTGTGTGTGTGTGTATATATATATATATATATAGGCTACACTCAAACTTTTAATAATAACATTTTAATTGAAAAAAAAATAAATATATTGTCATAAAATTGTCATCGAGTCATGTTTAATAATAGAAACAATCTGATACTCGCGTAAAAAATATATTTATGTATATTTTTTTCAAGTTTAGATAGTAAAAATAATAATAAAGGCTGAAAAAATTTTTTCTTAGTTATTAGAATATATTTCAATTATCCTGATGTATTCGGCATTAAACTGATGAAGATAAATTTTTTCCCCTTGTAGAAGTAGAGAAAATTTTTATATTTGTTAAGTAGACGGCAGAAACTGATATTAAAAAATGAAGTAATCATCATGTATATTATTGAAGTAATTATTATCTATATCGTAAAAAAGTTTCGGAAACTCTTACAGAATTTGCAATTAGTGTCTAAACGAGATATTATATTAATTCAAGGCAGATGAGCATTTATAGTTACCATTCTGGACAGGCTTTCTAGATCCTCTTTCTCTTATAACGAGCTCTTCGCTGCTACTAGAATATATTAACGCTAAAGATGCTTTGCAGTGCAGCTTCATCACTCCTCGACGAAAATGGCGATGATCTAAGACTAAAGTCAGACGAATTCTAGAACTCTGTAAACCATCCGGATGACGTAGGATTGGATAGCGGGTTTCGAAATTGGGATTTACCTGAAGTAAAAATACTAGACTTTAAACTTTATAAATAGTTAAGAGATTTGAAGCATAGATGTGTATAATTTATCTAAATGGCAGAAATCGGAACACCTGTCTTTCGAATAAATACAAATTACATGTGTTAGAGATGTCACTGGAAAGAGAGGGACGAGGCGCACGTGATAAATGGAATAGGGAAAGAAGATGCTATTAGCGTTGTCAAGAGAGTCTGGGTGGATCGCAAGAGAGAAGTAAATGTAGTGGGATGTTTATAACATCATTTAAAATTGACGTTTCTAAACTGTATTAATTACACTTTCAATTGATGTTAAAACTACATTCTCCTTTTGTTGTCCGAAGCAATTAGTATTACCGTTTTGTTGGGACAAATTATAAAAGAGAATAACTTGGTCATTTCTTTCCATCTGCACGTATCGGAGGTAGATGGAATGTTAAACAAACTCTAACTCCCTATCTCGAGCCAATAGGAATTCGTAAAAGATTTCCGATGCATTGTGCCTCATAGTGATTCCAGTAGAATACAATTATTGGTGAGAGGAGCGATGTAATGACAATAGGAAGGAATCGTTCCTAATTACAGTTGACCATCCCACTGGATTCGTTTTCCTCCAGCGGCTTAAGCTAACTCAACTACACCAGAGTTGTCGTCTCCATATACTCTGCATCATACTCCTTATATTATTTTTATGCTTTTCTCCCTTTTCCATCCACAATCCCCTTGTCGATAAACTATGCTGATTATAATAAACTCTATGTTTATATTCAATGAAAGCTGAATAATTATATTAGCAACTAACTAAGAAACATTCCTTACTTCTTGCTAATTTCATTTTTATAAACCAAACTTTTTCATTTAACCACTCTTACCTTCAATTTATATAACTTTTATACTTTATATAAACTTATATATATTTAAAATGTCTTAAATTACACATTTTAAACGAATTTTATCTCTGAAACTGAAGCTAATTTAAATTTTTATAGTGAAATTATTCCATTTTTAAAAATTAATTTCACTCATATAATATTTTTAAAAAATTTTCTTCACGAGCTTAAAAGAATAAATTAAGATTTTATTTTTAGTTTTTAATTGAATTTTATTTATGTAACTGAAAGTAATTTATCATCTTATCAAATGCATTCATGTAATTTAAACAATTTTGATTCCTCATTAATCTCATTTATATACAGCAAAGAAAATTAAAGAGGAATCAAAACTACAAAATCTTAAATTCTTATTAATTTCAATTGTATAATTAGACAATTTTACTTAATTATAAGATACATTTTAATTCGTTTCATATTATTAATTAAATTTTATTTTAATTAATGATCAATTTACTTCCTATTTAATTAAAAATATTTTATTTCCTGATAACATTTTTATACGATCAGATTTATTTTTTTTGTGTGATCCGAAACAATATTGATTTATTTTTAGATGACCTTACTATATTTATACGTTCAGATTTTCATATGATATATTGATACCGAATTCAATTTTACAGAACTTAAGATATAGGAGGATTACAGAAACCATAATTCTCAATAAAAGTAATAAAAAAAGTTAACTGCTGATCCAGACGTTCAAATTTTTATTCGACAAAAAAGAAATAACACGATATTATTTAAATATCAGATAAGAAAAATCTTAAAAAGAAAAAATATATATAGAAAATTTATTTTTGAAAATATAAAAATAATATATGTATATATCTGTATATTTTCTTTATGTAAAACAATGAAATACTCGCAATAAAAATTTGATACCATCTCACAATACGATACTGTCAATAAATATCTGACATTATCAAAATATCACAACAAAATCCTATTTTACTTCGCTCTTTTCCTCTTAGGCAAAATAAATATAAAATAAAAAAAAAAGAGAAAAAGAGGAAGAAAGGGAAGAAACCAGACTGTATTTTTTATACTTATTTAATTTTGTATTACTTTTTGAAACAACTGCTTTGTTTAATTTACAGCTGGAGTATTAAAAAAAAGGCTGATTAAAATGAAAAAAAGGCATCTCAAGAAATCATTCATTTTCTCAAATTATTGACTTTAGTCAATTTAAGACGGGGAATAAAATCGAAAACAGATTAATTTAGAGTTTAACGTTACTTTTTTTTTACGGTTTTTATTGTTATTTTTCTATACTAAGTACAAAAACTATATAAATAAGCTACTGATGAATATTTAACAGTTTCTAAGTAACCTAGATCAATTAAACGTGTAGTCTCTTCTCAACTCTTTAATAAAAAGAAGAGGAGAAGAAATAAAATAAAAAGTTTCTCGAAAACCTACGCTAAAATTCGATTTTCCAGAAATCTCATTAGACCGTTTCGTATATAAAATTTAAACGTGCCTATGTGATAATATGTAATTAAAACGTAAAATTTAAGTAAATCATGCATATGTTATAATCGGTTTGGAGATCCTTGATTAAGTTACAAAACAATCCGATGATAATCGAATATTTTCAACAATACATCTGACATTTTCATCTAATAAATGGAAGTTCACTAATGAAAGAGAATTTGTCACGAATTGAAGTAATCAAACGTGAAAAATGTTCGCGGAGGGAAATGCGATAGATAGATACTTTTACTATGTTGTTCAACGAGTTTTCAAATTTAATCTCATTTGATTCGTGAATTAAATAACGTCAAATATGAATTTGCATCGAATGAACTCTTCTAATTAATTGTTTCGGAACTATGGAATGTTTCATTTTCAAAAAGGGAAGATGGCCTCTCGATGAACGCTTTACTAATTTTTAATAACTTACTGTCTTTATCTTTATTCTTAATATTGATAATAAAAAAACAGAAAGAATCTATTCTTACCTCTTGGTCATCAACTAACCATTTCAGGGTGGATACAGGTTTGGACGGAATTGAAGTACATGTTACGTTGAGTACGTCACCTACTTGGTAACGAGAAACGATTCCGTCAATTGTAGGAAGTTCTTTGGGCATTACTGCGAAGGAAAAAAAAAACAGTAAAACACTTTTAAAATATCACTCGATACGTGCATTTAAGCAATAGTTTTGTTATGCATGCATACAACGTTATCCCAATGGAATATAGAGCGTCAGCATATTTCTTTTATTTTTTGTTTTATCTGATATTGAATCGCCCTATAACCGCACAGCTAACCGCAGAAAGGATGGTTAATTTAGCAAAGTGCCTAGGTGATGAAAAGCCACTATTCGAAAGAGACATAGCGAACAAAACGTCTCGACTCACCTGACAAGCCACAGATCTTGGTCAGTAAATGGCACGGTCAATTGTAGGCAATGTTCCACGATATTTAGTATCTTTGAGTGAATAATTACCAATGGTAAATTAACAGGAGTAATAACAATGAGTCTTTGAAGTAAACTGTGCCTGTTTGAAACCGCAGAGATAACAAGCAACACAGACAAAATGCTATCAATCGGCATAAATCGCTAGCGATTTTATAGCAATTGAAAAAAGGGAAAGGTTTTTCTTTTAAAATTAAATTATCTATTCAAAGATATTTAAAATTACGACAAAATTTACATTTCACATTTATTTAAAATGTGGTTTAAAATCTATTAAAAGTTGTAAGTTGTTTGTCTGTGTCAGTGTAGAAATCCAATCTGTAACACCTGTACTGTACAGTACATTAAATCAGTAGATTTGCGAATAGAGAGGATTTTTGTGGTGGATAAGACATTCTTCAAAAAATGCTTTAGCCATTTTTTTAAAAAAAATTTTTTACAATATCTCAGCTTGTCAACAATCAATGACAGACATGTTTGTCAGCTTATGCGTCTCAATTGCTCAGCAAGTGACAAAAAGGAATCGCTGTCTGACATGGAACAAAGTGACAATACTTTGTTTGTTTGACGTCTTCTTACATATGTATAGATCGGAAGGTTATCGATTAGATAGTTCCCCATGGGATTCTTCCGAAATTGAACCATTCTTTGGGACTTTTCCAAGCATCTTGCCACTAAGAGTTAGCATTCAAAAGATTACTTTCCAGATTTTTGATCGAAATGAATAACGCATCTCAATTATTTACAGATAGTCCACAATCCGATAATTCGTAAACGGGAAAAAAATCTTGCAACTGAATATTAATATCTAATTTTCAGAAAGTGTTTTATTTCATTTTTTGTTTAAAAGAATTTTTTTTCCCTTCTAACTACCAGACGTGATCAATATTTCAAGACAAAACCATATAGGTTGATAGATAAGTGTTCAATGTCTCCAACGAAACAAATTTCGTTGTGAGAGGCAGCAAAAATCGGGGAAAAAATAATGAAATAATAATAATAATTTATATTTTTATGTAATTTTCAAAGTATTTTTCTTGATACGAAAAATAAAATTCTTATATCGAAATTACATTAATAAAATTCTGGAAAATCTTGTATTTATTTTGTTTATTAAAAGTTTAGTTTGAGTAAAAAAATAAAAATAAATAAATGTAGTGAAGGTATTTTTATTTTTAAACTGCACAAATTATATTGTAAATTCGATTTTATACAGAAAATTGTTATCCAGAAGAGAATATAGTTAATGATCTTCGTGAAGCATTTTTCTTGTAAATTTTTGGTCGTTTCAGCAGATCGGAAAAGACTCTGGCAACAATAGAACCGACAATTTACTAAATTGCTCAATTAAGTATAAAGGGACAATTGTTGAAATATAAAATGTCTCGGAATTCGATCCGATTTGAGCTCTTTAGCGCATCTCGCGCTTTCATGCTAATTTCCTAAACATTTCTCTTCCACTTGGCGCAATCAATAATTCAACAATAGAAGAGAAAAAAACTGCATCTGTTTTTTAGTTGCTTTTTGTTGGTATATCTGGAATATTTACTATGTAAATACACCTTGACAGGTGTCTAATGAACCAGATCCTAAACAGTAACTCTAGCTATTGCATTGTCTTTATTTACCGATCGCGAAAACTTTCGACGTTTCCTGTAGTTAGTTAAATAAAATCCGAACTTTTATACCTGGAAGGAATTACTCTATTATTATTTTTTCCCCTTATCCTTCAGAAACGATCGCTGCTTTGCGTCAGATGTATGTAACAAAACGAAACTGTACTGGCATTTCTCTTAAACACCGCCAATCCAAATAATTGTTAAAAATCAGCCAAAGGCCAAATTCCAACGATTTTTTAAGAAACAAAATGCTGAAGACGACAACATCCAAAGACCTTTTATTTTTCTTTAACAATAGCTAAACCAATTGACTTATCGAGTTCAATACGCCGGATTTATTGATAACAATGAGGAGAGCAGGACTATATCATGAACTGAGATGCAAGGTTGGTGTTACGCATCTAACAATTATAGTTGCTTTCGATATCCCCTAGATCTATTGGAAACCAACTATTTTCTTTCTGATCTTGTTAAAGGAAATAAAAGAGCTCGTAGTTTTCCCGCTTCCACCGGGGAATAAAAATCAATATGAATCAATTTAACAAAAAGTATTCCTATGTCACTCGACCACTAGCCAATGAGCGGTTACCGTACAAAGATTATCTAAAATTACACCAGATAGAAATAGTTGCATTATATTTATATGTTGAAACTATCAATAAATAATTAGAAAAAAAAAGATAAAAAAGAAGAGGGAGGTTTTACTGTCATGTTTATCCAGGTGCCATATTCGTCACCTTTAATTACGTGTACGCGATCGGACTAAAGTCTGCCAGCTACGAGTTTATTTTTGTAATGGAATCTTACTTAATAGGATCTAGTCTATCCTGACGTCTTTATTGAAGTTGGAAGGCCAACAGCCATTCAGGTATTGGCTTCGGCTGAGATGTATTGTGAATATTTCATTGGACAGGCTCGCTCACGACCAAAAGGAAGTGGTACCCGCACTAACAATAAAAAAGAAATTTGTCCTAATGCTTTCTATCCAACTAGTAGATAGCGTAGAGATGTGGGCACACATTGACTAACTTTAATCATTCTAACTATAGAACTGAAAAGGTTTATGTCTGTACAAACTCGCATCAGTTTTTCAACCGTTAAACAAAAATAATAAATTATCAAGCGGGAATAAATATTATAACTGCAGCGCAGATTTCGTCACCGCCAGACATAAAAATTGCAAGAAAGGTAATGCAAGCGCTATATAAGTCTCTTAAAACTCGCTCTGCCGATCACTCCAGTGTCTCCGAAACATAACTTTTTGTCTTATAGTCAAAAACATTGAATGATATCTTCGGACGAAAACTTCGACTGGTATATTAAAGAGTGAAATTTGATAGGTTATGCTCCGGATATAATTCGTCCATTGTGTGGCCGGATGGATGAATAATGTAAGAGAAACTTTTGCTACCAAAAATCGCGGCACTAAATGAGAAAGGTAAAAAAAGTGATCGGCAATCGGATATCGGACTTTCACCAACGAAATGTCTGTAGGCGTATTTCAGTGTAACAGAACTTCAAACAATGTTAGTGGAGTTTGTTTCGACGATGCTTGCCTTCGAGAACAGATCGATGGTTGAATGTTGTCTCAAACAAGCAATTACGAAACGACGAAACGTCTTTAGAATTGGATCCGGTTTATTAATGAATTTTCTACTCATAATATACCTTCAATTGCTATTTTAACGAATACATATTTTTTTTTATTTTTATTTTTAAAAATTTACATTTCCGAAACGGAATGACATATTGAATAAACACTATTAAATTTCGGTATTATTTTGGAAAATAAATTTAATCTAGGATTCAATTACCGAGATCGATGTTGTTTCTATTGGAACATAAGTCGCTCGTGCATATTCTGAATACAAAACGATAAGGTTAATGCAGAAATGCAGCAGGAACACCAACACTCTTGATCGATGTTAGGCTATTACGTCAGACGATCTGGTGTTAGAAGATAATATTGTGCAGCAAGTATTCAACTTCGAAGTAAGAAAAAATAAAAAATAAAAAAAAATAAAAAATAAAACAAAGAATGCGCCCTTTGTTTATAAATTTAAATAAGCGCATTTTCTCGAATGTTGTACAAAAATGTTGAAACAATTGATATAAATAACTCACATTTTCACTCACCGTACACACGCAAATCCTCCTCGGCTTTGACAGTCTTGAATAAAGGTGCTTCTGTAGATACCTCGCATGCGTATGTTCCTTCCGTATTTAAATCTGTTCTGTACAAGTACACGTAACTCTCGTTGGACTGCGATAGCTGATAAAAGAACAAATTAACTATATTTTTTCACTGTCACGTTCGTTCTCAATTATAAACATAATTTTTAATTTTTGCTAGTTTCGTAGCGGTCGTACAACTAGACGTAAATCTATCCAAAAATATTTACGGCCTTAATGTCTTAGTAACTAGGCAAAACTAGTTACATTATCCGAAGAGAGAGACTCGCATGACCTAGATAGTCACCCTCTAATGGAAAAGACAACTTATTTAGCCAGGGTGCAATTGTGCTTGTTAGGTGCAATTATACCTTTTTCCATTGCAGCGAAATAGTAAATTTTAATTCGAAAAGAGTCTCTTAGGATAGATAATGAGTTATATACCTTATTAAGACAATATTTGATTCGTTTCCCCTTCTACCTTTATTTTTCAATTGTTACCTGATTGAAAGCTGATTTCTAATAAACGTTACCATTTATCTTTATATCTAATCGAAACTGGGCAGATAAAGTAAGAAGGCATTAAAGGATTTTTCTTAACTAGTGTTTATTGGTACACTATTAGATCAATGGCACCATTTCACCACTTGCACTCTTACCAACCTACAGATGAATTCTCCAGTCTTAATTTCTTCTTCTAAATATGATATATCACTTTTATAAAAGTTATAAATGCTATCTGCACGATTAATCACATTTTATCCCTAGTTTATGACCTTTATTATTTATTATTCAATTATAAATTATTCGCAGCTTCGAAATTATTAAATTAGTCATAATTCTAGGCATATATATTTTATTTTCATTAAATATAACTTACGTAAAATTCTAAAAATAATAAATTTTTATTATTTAATATTTGTTTTAAAAAATTTGAATAATCTATTAAATGAAATCGTGACTAAATGCAATTATATTGATAAGATTTATATATTTTACATGACGTACAATTTTCCTTTGGGACAGTTTTTTTTACATATTCCGTATAAATATATCATTTTTTTATCAATATAAATAATATTATTATTTCCTTGAGAGACAAATTGCCTATTATTGAATACTGTATAACATTTTAATGAAATTCAAGTAACTATTTTAAAAATATAGGCTATATATGTTTATAATAAACATTAAGTAAAAATATATGGTTATATTTCTCTATTAAATAAAAGGAAAGTATCGAATTTTTAAAAGAAACAAACAATTTCGTCCTTTACAGTGAACTTTAATAAGATCGTTATATTCCTGCTCTTTCCTATGACCTTTACGGAAACTTCCATAATTTAGACCAAATTATCTCTAAGTTCAGTGCACATGCTACTTATACATTAAATAACTTCAGATTACTTTATAGAAGAACCGCACCGTACGAACTGTACAGTACATCACATAACGATGTCTTATATACATATATACATAGATATATAAGTTATGTATGTATTTTTTTTAAAAGTATATTCAGTATATTCAGCAATCGGAACCTTTTTCAAAAATTTAAGAAGATATTTTCTAACTCGTTTTGAGTGCCGTTAAACTAACTGATGCTAAAATTTAAAAAAGTTTTTCTCTTTTTTTTTTCTTTAAATTCGCGTACCGAAGAGATGCATTCCATAAATTTGCAACATCTTCTGACGATTTCAAAATGCGGCCGTTTCTTTTACTTCTTTTTTTTTATATTTTTTATTTTTTTGTTAGAATCTTTTTTTTCCAGGAAGCATGATAGCAATCGGTATGCAGATACAGAATGGCCTTATTGTATTTACAGTAGAGGAAAAACAAAAAAGGCGAGTGCAATTCTCAAAGTAATCCCGGATATATACAAAATCGAATTTTTTTTTTAAAATTTATTTTTGCATTATCACTTTAAAAAAAAATTAAAAAGCGTCAATTTTAAATTATAAAAAACTACGAAAATTGTTGATAGTTATTTCAAAAATAAAATATTTTTATTTGTATCTATCTAAGTTGATAAATAGATAGATTCAGTGGCAAAATCGCCTGAGGCATCTCTGTATTTATCTAAAGAACATTATACCTAAAGCTAACTGGAAAAGTAATATTATATCTACAGCTAACTGGAGCACTAACGGTACACCAAGAGTTAATGTGGAAAACTAACATTGCACCTAAAGCTAACTGGATAACTAACATTACACCTACACCTGAACTAATATTAGTCCTCGAGCTAACTGAAGAAATAGAATTTTATCGACAGCTAATTAATGAATTAAGAGTATGTCTAGTGACTAGTGTTAATTGAAAATTATAATTAAACATAGACAAAATTTTAGCTATAATTTAATTCAAATTATTGCTTTATTTTAATTAAGCAATAATTTAGCAATTATTTTAAGAAATTATATTAATTTATACTTTATACTATTTAAAAAAAACCTGAAATGCCTTAAGAAACTAACATGACACCTGGAGATAATTCCTTTCCAGATGTTTTCCTGTGATATAATTAGAAAATGCTATACGTCTGTGGGTAATTGAAAAACTAAGATTTAAAATTATGACTAGTACTATTATTATATCTAAGAAAACTGAGATAACATAAAGTCTGCATCTATAACTTACATAATTAGAGAGGTAATGGATATATGAAGCTGTAAAAATAAAATTATTTTACATTTACAGTTAAATAAACTAAGTACTATTGAAACTTATCGGCAGATTTAATATTACGGTAATAATAAGTTAGATCCTACTTGAAAATGAAAAGCAGAATTATAACTTAAGACAAAGTGGAAAATTAATACCAAGCAATATAAGGAAATAATGAAAAATTAGTAGTTTTAGTGGTAAAATTATGCGTAAATTAATTTTATATCTAAATTTAAATTATAAATGTTTATGTAGAAAGTTCATTTAATATTTAGAATAAACGGAGAAACAAGGATCAATCCAGTTCGTTCTTTAGAATTTCAATATTAAAAAGTTGAGAAAAATTAAGTTAACGTTTAAATATATTACAACAAACTACGTTATTACATTTAGTTCAACTTCTTAATTGAAAAAAAAGAAAAGAAATTATTATTAAAACTAGCAAAAGTAATCTCTCCGCCTCTGTTTAGAATTGGAGAGATTAGCAAAAAGGTTGTGTAAAAATAAAAGAAAAGAGCACAAGTTGGAACAAAACCGAAATCAACTGCTACGTACCAGTACATTTTTTCATTTTTGTGATAAACCAAGGCCTTCTATCACGTAAAAGTCTGCATTCTTTCTTTCAGCCAAAAAGAAATTATAAAAGTTGATTTCCTATATGTTGCTGTTCTGTCGTTCAATTTCTTGTTGACCAATTTTGATTTTCGAGAAAAAAGATTCTAAAGCAATTAATTTATTAATGAAATTAATCTTTTTATTAAAACTGAAGCAAAAGTTATCTGAATATTTATCTATCAAATTATTAAATTTTGTGTTTTTCCCCCTTTTATCCTGAGCACTAATTACTGAAAGAATATTAATTTGCTCGATCTTTTTACATACGTATAGGCATAATCAGACAAAAATTGAAAGAATAATTGGATATTATCTGCAAAAAGGGAAAAAATTAACATTCCTTACGTACTGTAGTAATTTAAAAGACTTTAATCATCAATTTAACTGACATTTTAGTTGAACTGATAATTTTCTATTCCGGTCGCTCTTAGATTAGTCATTTCGTAAACGATGAAGACATTTAGAGAGAAACACAGAGGAACAAAAAGAGAATAGTGTAATTTCCAGGCCAGATGTCATCCCCGGAGGAAACTACTTTAATAGAGATAGAAGAAAACTGACGATAAAAACCTTTATGGTTTAAGAGAAGAATATAAATCGTTCTTAAAATACTACCGTTTCTATAGGTTTTAAATTATTATCCTATCCCTCTCTCCCTCCTTGACAGATTTATAGTCAGATCGTATTTAATATTCTTGAAAATTATTCTAATTATTATTTTATCCTAAATATAATTAATTAAATCTAGCGGCGAAATTTTTCTTTGCCAATTTTATTTATTAGTAAAAATCCACTTAGCCGCCCCGGTAAAAATACATTAATTTTTCTAAAAGAAAATGCGACTTATTCTCTTAACTAATTAATTTCTAAATGCGGCTATACGTTCGATGTAATTTATACTTTTTAATAATAAATTTATTAATAATAAAACAGCTATAAAATATTTATTCATTTTTTTTCTTCTTTAAATCGGAGCAAAGATAAGAATATTTCTGCCTCTCTTCTACAAGAGATGGAAACTTTCAAGCTAAGAAAAGAATTTTCGAAAGCTCTTACTAAAATTCAATTAATAACTAAAAAGTTTCGAGGAAATATATTATTATTTTTTAATTTTCATTAGTTTATAGTCAAAGGTTTTCGTGCTTATAAAAATGGAAGCGTTTTGCATCTACTAAAACTTCTTATTTTCTCTCTTAATGTTTGATAATATATAAATTGACGAAAATCGTAAAAAGTAAATCCAGTTAGATGATGGTTTTACATATATTAATCATCAATTATCTTAATAGAAAGAAGGTGTTAAATTTACTTTGATTAAGGTTGCAGTTTGAGTTAACATCTCTTTCTTAATGGAGACAAATAGCACTTGAGATATCGTTTGTGGTACACAATTGCAACATCTGGAACAAGTCTTGGAGTCATTTCAAAGAGAATGTTAAGCCAAGTGCCTCTTCTTTGTATCCCACAGATCTGTTTCCTTTCCTTCTTTAGCTATTAATGATTTTCTAGGAAAATTACACTCGCATACATTTTAATTTATTAAAAAACTTTTTACTTAACATAAAAATTATCTTTTATGACGATTACAAAAGAAATAGTGGCTTTAAAAATACTTATTTCTTAATTCAAAACTTCTTAAGATGTGTGTGGGTTAAGTAGGCTAAAATATAACATTATTATTATTATTATTTTCTACAATAGTCAGTATCTCTAAATAACTAATTAATTTTTTATGGCTGCAAATGATAATAAATACCGTATTAAATATTTCTTGTTGTATAATATATAGTACACAGATTCAAATATTTACTGCATGGA